CTATCTATCTATCTATCTATCTATCTATCTATCTATCTATCTATCTATCTATCTATCTATCTATCTATCTATCTATCTATCTATCTATCTCCTTTTACGTGTAGATATTTATGTATCTCAGTACTTATTGCATATCCATTTGTTTGTCTCTTCAGCGGTTCGTTTGTCTGACTCGGTTGGCTTGTGGACATCTCCAGGGCACACACGCTTTTCATTTCTCTTTGTCCGTCATCTCCGATCTCCTCCGTCTCATTGGACACCAGTGGCAAGAGCGTGGGTCCTCCTGCTGACCACTGTAACTTGGCCTTTGGGTGACCTCCCTTCAACAAGAGGGAGAACACACCAATGCCTTCGCTGCTCCAGCAGACTGAGATTGATGGAGGAATGGATGGAGCGACTGAGGAACAAGGGATACAGATAGTTACCGTTGGAACATCCTTGAGACTTTAATCGTGCAGTTTAAAAAGCAGGTAAAAGTGCGTCAGTCAGTCCTACCAATGTCAGCATTTCTCCAGTGTTTCTCAACAGGATCCTGTAGGGAACAGTGTCTCACTCTACAAATAATCCCTCCTCTTTTGTCGATTTTCTCCTGATTTGTTGCCCTTCTCTTCAGAGTGGCTGTCGCCCTGTAGCGTCTGGGTTCAGTCTGTATGGGGCCCCATATCTCTCCTCCCTCTATCACCTCCTCCTCTCCATCATCTTGCTCTCCCTCCCTGAATCTAAGCCAAGTCACTGAAATGTTCGGAGGGTAGAAATCTGTGATTTCACATCCTAGAGTTTGATCTTGGGAAATGGTGGAGCTGACAATTTCAGACACGCACGGCCTCCTGATGAATCCTGTTTGGGATCAAAATAAAAAAATAATCTTTGATTTTTCAACATTTCCCCCATTCCCTCCTCATCCCTCATCCTTACCTCTGGTCTCCCGGGTGATGGGCTGCTTCAGGGCAATGTGGTGGACGCTGACCCAGACTTTAGTTGCTCCTTTCTCCAGTTCAGCGCGGGGAAGTTTACACTGGCTGTAGGCTGAAAAGAATCCCTCCGAATTGGGCCGAGGGGAGGACGATGCCTGGGACGCCACGGGGCTGAGCTCACCGCCCTGGCAGAACCAGCGGAAAGTGATGACATCTGGATGGAAATGGGATGCTCGGACTGTCAGGCTGATGACATCTGGAAGATGGAAATGTCATCAATGGTAGCCTCCTGCAAACAGGTTAACTTTAAATATGCAATACAAAAGGATAGTCTTCTTGAATTACCCGAGTCTCTTTGTGTTTCTGCCAGCTGTATTTCTGACACCTCAGGAGGAGCTGGGCAACAAAACATACAAGTGATTCAGCTGCAGGACTTACAAAAATAAACTGAATAAAAAACACGTTCTTACACAGAACAGTGAACTTCTCTGACACCCTCTCCTCCACGATCTTGTCCTTGCCTATGTAGGACACCTGGCACTTAAACACAGCACCCTTGTGGATTGAAATCTTGGGGATGAAGGTGAGCGAGGAGATCAGCTGTTGAGTGCCGTTTTTGGACGAGTGCAGCGGCCCCTGAGTGTGCAGCTTGTAGTAACCCATTTCACCTCTGGAGGGCAGCAGAGGACCTTTCTCTGACACTGGGGAGGTGAGAGTTAGACCATAGGGTAGATGGATGGTGATTAGGGGGTTACAGAGGCAGTTAAAGTTAGCTTTGGAAGTTCCTGTGAGTGTCAGGTGGTCAATTGTTAGATCAACGTGTTAAAGAGGGGGAAACAGAGGACGTTAAAGGGTGTTTGCGAGAAAAATCCAACATGTGTAGCACCAACACTTGCATTTCATTTCCCCAGTTCCCTAAACAACCAGCTTCCATCACCAAAAATTGCTTTAAAGATTGATTCTGCTGTGCTTTAAATATGTGTAAATTAATTCCTTCATTCAAACAATAAGTGTAACAGCTGGAGCACAGAAAAAAAGGAGAATGCGACGCATCCTACCTGTGAGGGAGTTGTCAAAAATAGGGGTGTCATTGAGAAACCATGCGGTCTGCACCTGGTCCACCCTCCTGCCTTCAATGCTCAGTGACACCCTCCCCTTTTGACCTACTATCACTCGGGGAGGGAGGATGATCCCTGACACGCTGAGAGATTTCTGTTTCTCTGAGCAGGGTCACAAGCAATTATAAAATAAGAGACACTGAGAGAGAGAGAGAGAGATAAGGTGATATATTCACATACAAATATGCCTTTAAATT